CATAAAAATATGCTTTTGGTAAAAGAAATTATTGTATTTACTCAATGTAACTTATACAATGATATTGTTTTACAAAATACTAAAGTATAACTAATAAGGAATAGTATTATATAACTAAAAAAAAGCAGGTAAATTGCCTTAGTCAAATAATGAAATAAAGAATGTCTTAAAACTAAAAAAAATATAGAAAAATAAAAATGGTTAATTGTAAACAATAAGTTATTAATGTAATTAAAAAAAATTATACATGTATACATGCTACTATCTTATATTGCCAAGTCAATTGTATAAAAACTTAATGCAATAGAAACTTTAGTGAGTTGAAGAAATTCTTTACACAATTTATATTACTATTTCCTTGTAAACATTTTGGACAAAAATAGATTATTATAATTAGAATCTTTATCAACACACATTAAATTAACATACATACTACTACACTTTTATACAAGGTGTCTCATACAACTGGTATACATATTACACTTTCAAAATGTCTGTAATAATATGATCACCTAACTTGTTAATGAAAAGTAATGCATAGTAAATAAACAAAAACATCATAAGGTAAGCTTAAATGATATTAAACTTTACATGTTCCTGTATTAATTTTATACACTTCAATATATTAAAAGTATAATGTTCTATTTAAGGAGAAAGGACTACTTACACTATTCAAATGCATTTGTGCTTAAAAATAGTACAGAAATATACAACATCTAATACTATTTCACTTTAACTTATAATATTTTTTGCTATCTCCAACAATTTTAAACATACAGCTCATTCCACTTATGTGAGATACTGTTTATATTTAAATAGCTGTTATCAAAATAACAAAAAGATGGTGTAAAATAATTATATATCAAAATTCTTCATTAATTTTGTTTAATTCTACTTAATCTGAATTTAATTTTTCAAATAAAATTAACTTCTTTTGTCACTATTTTATATTATACTTTTTTTATAAACTTATAATAATCATATTAGATGAACAGAATCAAAATGAGAATGAATCTAAATCAGAATCAAAAACATTTGTTTCAAAACATAAATTACTGAGACTTAATTTATTTTTGTTTTTTATAATGTCTACTTTTGGTGATAATTTTGTTTGATCTTTTAATAAAGTTTGTGTTTCACTTAACTCTATACTATGATCTTCTTTCACTGATAAATTGCAACTCTGCGTGGTTATAAGACCTTTACAATTTAAATTTTCTTTATTCACATGTGATAAAATTCTAGAATTACTATCATTTTTTAAATATTTGAAACTTTTACTTTTTACTAAACTAAAATTTTCTTCTTGATTCTTTAAAAATGTTTGACTACTTACAGATTTTATTATACTATTGCTTGTATTATATTCACAACTATCTGTTTTGTTAACTAAACAATTGGAACTTTGATTTAACATGTTATAACAGTTTCTTAGTTTTGATTCCTCTGAATAATATATAAGTTTTACAAATTCATCATTTTCATCTTCATCTTCAGATAAAAGCAGCATATGTAATTTCTTGCTATTATTTATATCTGCATTACTACTACAATTGCTTCGAGAAATACTTTTTGACATAAACGAAGATGTTGCATCATTTGTATACTCACATACATTTTTCTTAAAAAATAAATTTTTTCTTAAGTTCGAATTTTTCAAATGAGTTGTAGAAGGACTTTTTATGCTACGTATTTTTTTAAATTTCATATTTCTTATTCTACATTGTTTCTTATATGTAGGATTTCTCTTCGCAATATAAAGTTTTAATTGATTTCTATTTGTTTTTTTATTTCTTTCATCATTTTGAAAAATATTAGGACATGTATATGTCATAATATTTTGACAAACTTTACTTTCCATTAAACCTCCTTTATTGTTAAAAACATTATTATTTAATGTTTCTTTTATTTCTGAAGTACAATCATTAAGCATTTCAGAATTTGAATAATCAGCTGCATTAATTTGTGGAAGTTGACAAATATTTACATCATCATTTTGTAACAGAGTAGTTTTAGATAATAAATCATCCTTATTTAGTGCTTTTTTATCATTAACATTTCTATATTTCTGAATCTCGAAATGTGATAACTTTTTCAATTGAACTGTTGGATTTAAATTTCCAAGATTTATTGTAATAATAGCAGATTTTTTATATTTCTGAATTTCAAGCTCTGATAACCGTTTTAAACGAATCACTGGATTTAAATTTTTAAGTCTTTTTACCATCTTATCTTGTTTTTCAGGTTTCTGTACGTTTAATTTTTGTGGATTCAAATCTTTTAAATTTTTAAATATACTATGTTGATTTCTATGTTTATAATTATTATCATTTAAATTGTAAGAGTTTGTTACTGCTGTATTTAAATTTTTGTGCTTTTGTATATCAACTTCTGATAATCGCGTCAAATATACTACTGGCTTTAGATGTGTAAATTGTGTGATAACATTAAGTTTCTCATATTTGTTTGCATTACATTTTTCCAAATAGTTTGTTGATTTATTCAGTTTATTTTCTGTATTTGTAGATCTATTGGTTGATAGAAACATGTTCATACATTCTTTAGTATTGCATTCTATTAAATTTTGCGATCTATTGAGAATTATAGAATATGCATCATCCGATTTTTTGTCATTATTTGCTGTTATAGAAGTTTCATCAAAAATTTGAATACTTGTCCTTTGCAAACGTTTGTTATAACGTGAACTATTTAATTGGCTATTGTTCATTGAATTTTTATTAAACGTATGAAAGACTTTCCTTTTTCTCATCTTGCGCATTTTATGTGTTTTTAACTTACTTTCAAAATCTAATGCAGGATGTAAATTTTGTTGTGGTTCAAGTACTATGTTTTTATTAGTACGTTTCATATCAATAAGATCAATTGGTGAGTCTCTACCATTATATAATTTTTTACGATGTCGTGTTTGTGTGGCACTATCTTGTACTATTGAGTTTTCCCTCGCAAAATAATTTTGATTGGTTTGTGACAATTGTACACTCAATGAATCATACTTAATGTAAGAATTCCTGTCTTTACCATCCCCGATTATGTGTGTAAATGTTTCATCTAACACTTTACTATCACGAAATTTATTGTTATGTACCAACTCATCATTTACATTTAATGTTTCTGACAATGTATTTTTATTAGCGACTGTTGTATCTAAATTTTTCTGTATTTGTGTAATATTTTTGTGTTCATCAGTATTGTTTTGTTGCAATACACATTTTGATATTTCAGATGTTGAAAAGCATTGTTGATAATTATTATCATTGTTATCTAATGCAATATGTTCACATTCCTTTGCACATATTTTATCTGTAACAAGAGGTGTTGCATGAGAACTTACTGAAATGTTAGCTCCTTCTACAATAGCCATAGTTTCTGCTTTATTAGTTGCATTCATATTTGCTAAAATATATGCAGCAGTGTCAACAGAGCTACTGGAAGAGCTATCATCATAATTTTGTTTCATGTATTGTGCATCTGATGTTTTCTTCTTAACATCATGATGCAATTGTAAACATTCTTTAGTCTTTACAGATAAA